TGGAAGTTGAGTAAGCTTGATTTTCGTTTGATGGATACTTTCACCCAACGTCAACTAAAGGAAATATCATTCGCCAACATACCCCCCCTAAGAAGTGAAGGGTATTTCCAGCAAGGAGAAAAAGGAACACAGAAGTCAGTATCGCTACTTCGGCAAAGGCCAGGGTACATGACACTCAGGTGGAAAGACGCCAGGTTTCTGGTGATCTCGCCAAAGTTCTTTCAGTGGCATGCGAACTCGATCGCTGAGCTGCATGCCACCCGGGGGCGAGGAATTGAAATCCCAGCGACTCAGGTTATCGGCAAGGACATTGTCATGTCCAGGGATGTGTCCCACGTCGATTTCCATGTTTGTCTGAGCACTCAAAAGACAAAGACGTTCCAAGAAGTAACACAAAGGCCGGTTCACGCTGAAAAGCTTGTTACTCGAGGCTTCGGCGCCTGTGTTGTCCGAAAGCGATTTCAAGCAAATTGGCATTCGATGCCCTGGGAAATACTTGGATGTCATCAAAAGCAAAGCTATCTGTGCCAAGGTTTCTAGGCACGTGATGCTTTTTTGCAAATCCGGTTTGAGGTCAAGATGCAAAGCTTGAAAATCGTCCCAAAGAAACAGCTCACTAAACCAGAAGGATCTGCCGGTGGGGTCTGTGATGAAACCGCCAATCTGGCTCCGAGGACCTGAAGCCATAGCATCTGCTGCGGCCTGGCCGGACCAGTATACCTTAGGACGAAGAGGTTTCACTGGCGGTAGGAATTTGAGCCAATCTTCAAAAAGTTTCACAATTCGGAGTGAGTCATCTGATAACTTCTTGCGTGGACTGTTGGGGTCGCGAACACGCAACCAGTTTCTGTCCTTCAGGCGAACAGATTGCAGGCTGGCGCGATCTGAAATTTGAGTGTGTCCGACTGAAACTAGAACTCCGCCTACGGGGAGGCCGGAATGAGCCGGCTGGTGCGCAAATTTTAATTCCGGCGTCAGGGCTGCTAGGACATGTGGCCAGTCCTCTAAACTCACACTGAAAAGAGAAGCAGGGATGGAATAGAGGTCTCTATACCAGTGGTGGATCCAAATCCGAGCCACATGCAAACGCCGATGGTTTTTTCAAGCTTCTTTTTGGAAGTGCGAGAACTTGATTTGAGGTCATGTAGATAGTCAATGACTTTCTTGAGTTTGTCAGGGGGAATGGAAAGAAATCCACTACGGATGTGGAATGACCATCCAATCCATTTCAGAGTACTTGAAAGTTCGCATTTTTTCCAGGAGATTGGGATGTTCGTCAATAAACAGAAAATGCAAAGAATCGAAGCGGAGCAGGGAAGGATCTGGGCATCCTGGTAAATGAAAAAATCGTCTACATAGAGCATGGCCACGTGGGCCAGCCAGATCAATCTGCGAAAGCACCGCAAGATCAATGCTCCGAGCCGGGACCACCAAGCCGCCGAAAAGGAAGCTCCAAAGGGGCACACTTTGTAGAAGTACAAGTTATTATCGAGAGTAAATCCGACTAAACCTTGCTCTTCTTCTTTGAGTACTATCCTTTTATGAGCTGACTTAATGTCAAGCGAAAAACTTGCAAGGTCCTGGCAAGATTGACGAATCGGATATGATCGGATCACATCCTTTGCTGATGGCAACGTCGACCGTTCTGGAATGACACAGCGATTGTTGAGACCGCATACGCTGTTATCTACAACAAGTCGCGGGGGGCGTGTCTCGGTGATCGCCACCCCCAGTTTGCCTACCGCCACACCACAAGGGTATATCACACCACAAGGGTATGAGGCTTGGGCCTCAGCTACTGTGCCTGGAAAACGAAAAACCCAGCCTTTGTCGATCTCTTCCTGCACGAGTTCCCTAGTCAATTCAATGTTTTCCTCCGCGGACTGCCAATTGCTCATATGAATTGAGAGGGGTTCATTCAATTCGTGCGGTCTATCATTGGGTGGGAAACAACCAGATGGGGGGAAATCATGTTGGAACCCGGTGCTGACCCCATTCAACAGGCGCTGAAATAGATGAGTATCTTCATCCTTCATAATCTGGTTAAAGGCCTGCAGGATCCTGAGATACATCGGTTGGTTGTCCCTGATGTGCCAGTCGGGCTCAATGCCGTGGGATCGCAGAAAGGCTTCCAAGCTCTCTTGAAACGGACGCATATCCTGGTCAGAAAAGGGAGGGTCGGAAGAACCAGTACTACAAAAGGCAATGAGCTTCTTATCGAGTCTGTTTTGGATGACCATTTTCATCCAATTACGTCGAAGGGATTGAAAGACATCTGATTCCACCCGGGGAGCTCGGCTCCAGTCTGGTTGGGAAAAATTGCCGCCACCATCTTCAGAACTGCGAGGGAAGTCCGAAACTTCTTTAATCGGTAAGACCAGGTTCCGGGCAGTCCAACTGATGTCCTGATCGTTGGTTGATGCGTTTTTGGTGCCCCACAAGAGGTATATCTGATACCCCTGAAGAAAAGAAATTAGAGATAGGGATGTTTGCACATGGTGTGGGTAACCTTTGGAACGCAACGCAAAAAGGAGAAACATGAGAAAGGGAAAATGTCAGGGTACGCGAAAATGTCAGGGTACGCGCAGAAGAGATCAACTTGCGGTATTGCAGCCAATGGCGTCTGTGGAATGAGAAAAAGATGTGAACATGAAAAACAAAGCTCATCGCCACAGAAACACTCACTCTTTTTCATATTGCGCTCTCAGCTCAGGGCTCCAATGGCAATCCACCCCTTTCAGCAACCTGGATGCATACAGACGGATTGGCCGGATTTCAATTCAAGGAAATCGGTAATAGAGAATTGCACTGAAGAGAACTTGCGACCACAAGCCGTGATGATGGGCGCAGCATCGGGCTGTGTGTCTGAGGTCGAAGACGATTGCTGCACGACTATGTGCCACATATTTCGATATATGCCTACCGTAGCTTCATCGGCCGTGATTGATGGCCGGGACTTCTGTTTTTTGGTGGGTACTTTCGCCACCGAGTTGGAAGAGGCTCCACTGGACTCTGACGACGACGAGTCATCCGAAGACAAGTCAACACTATTTGCTTCCAGTTCAAACGCAACTGGACACAACTCTGGCTGAAAATTAAAGAACTGCCATGCGTGAGACGGTGCCTCTTTATGGAAGCTCTCTAATGTGAACCCGGGCTCAACGAGGGGGAGCTGGCCCCCCCTTTGAAGGGAGGTCTGAGGGCGCCATCCGGCTTGCGCTCGCTGAAGGATTTCGGACTGCAGTGACAAGGATCCTGCCACGTCATCTCGGCTGCACAATCGTGTTGATTGCAATGGATCTTTATGTTTGCCTTGAAGGCGTCTGAGTTCAGGACTAATGCCTAACTGTGAAGCCCAACTGATGAGCGTGCTCTTTAGGCCGTGGACGGTGTAATGCGTCACATCCGGAAACACCAGCTTGGAAGATCGCCAGGGGAGTTCTATAAAACGTCGAACAAAGTACAATGCCTCCGGGTAGGTCATTGGCGTGAGTGGCGCGCGTGGCCCGTTTTCATCAACGCTCGGAAGCAGAAAGTCTATCTGAGAAGGATCACTGTGGCGGTAAACTGCATCAAGTGTAATCAAAAAAAGGTGAACCCAATGAAAAGAACTCTTGCTCAGGAATCCGCTGCATTGGATGCCCCATGGGACTCCACTAGCGCACGTCTTGGTGCGCCACGCCAGTCCTCTGAGGGTGGAACTGTCATACTGCCACCTGTGGAGCATCATACGTTGAATGTCACCGAAACGCATGCCGGAAAATGACATCAGCAAAAAGGTTCCTAACACCAAGATTTCCGTGATGGATGCTTGGCTAGTCAAAATACGTCTTTCCCATTGCACTAGCACTAACAAAGGATAGACTAGCGACTCTTTGCGGTCACGGATCACAATTTGCTTAGTGAAAGACGATATCAATGGTGCCATGCAAAACTGAAAGCACGAAAGTTGCAATTGCTTCCAACCCCATCGGATGGATTTCAGTGTGAACGTCGAGAATTTCCCTGTCTCTGAGGTGAGAGCAAGAAGTACTTCAGCTAGAATCACTTCAGTGATGTCATGAAGAGAAATCCGCATCAAAACTCAAAAGCATGGACATGTAACGAAACACTGTGGCCGGGGCAAATCCATCCAGGATACGGAGCAAGTGACGATCAGCATTCTCGCTGGCTTCAAGCTGAATCAGCAAGGGAGACAATCCGGCAAAGACATGCAAGAATTGTGGAATCAGTTTCATAATCAGCTTACTCTCACTAGGACGCTGAGCGCGGGACACGTTCTCCGAGGTAGCAGGGACTGCTCGTAGATGAGGTGGGCGTTTCAATGACGCTCGAATCAAAGTTGACTGCTTTGAAGGTGTTTCAAATGTGGGACTAATCACGGGCGGACTACGAGGGGGTAGGTCCCTGAGAAGGGAAAGGCTCAATCCTATGTGACGCGACTCTGATGGACGTGAAAGAGATTCACATTCCAACGAACGGATATCGAGGTCCGGGCCCTGTGAGCGTGATGGCATGGGCGGAGGTCTTTCCAAAGGAGATGCACCTGACAAGTCCGCGACGGTCCGAAATGCTCGAGCGCTCGACGGGGCGTTGGAATGGGCAGGATCTACACTATGTCTGGCTGGTATACGAGGGCCTATGGGTTGAACCGGACGCTCAAAGGGAGTCGGATCGGGATCCTCGATCTCTTCCCATGACGACGCTGAAGCTCCCATGGACGAACAGCTGCAGATTGCTGATGCTCTCAAGCAAGCTCAGGGAGACACGACCCTTCAAAAAGAAAATGACAAGGTCTGATAAACACAGATACTGCACTTGAGCATGGCTCTGACTGAGGCCCGGATAATCGCACCATGCGCCCCAAAGGCTCGAGATGGATCGCCCGATGACGCGACACCTGTCAAAACACCTAAAAAACGCCTACAATATATGCAGTTTGAAAGTGCCCAAAACTAGCCGAATTTGGCATTTCCCAGCTCTGACATTTTTCAAACAACGCTGCATTGTAGTGAACACGAATCATCTTGAGCCAAAATTTGTTTGGGAAACAAATAGAAAGGATCGTTCGTAAAGCATGAACGAACAAGTACGTTAACAGTATCCCAGATCGGGAATAAGGTGAAGCCACTGTGGCAGGCGCCATCTAGGACAAAGCGCAAAGGCCGTTTCTTCAGCATAGGTCCCTCTCCATGTGGTTCTTTTGCCTGGCATTCGCGTAAGCCTTCTCAAAACTGTACAATACAATGTAATGAAGTGATGGTGGGATGGCTAGCTCTTGCAAAGCGGCACAATTCATAAATGCTTTTGAATGGATGGTGTGGAGCGTATATGGGAGCATTACACTCTGGAGCAGCACACAGTTCGCAAATGTAAACTCTCGGATCTCTAGTATAGTTGTTTCGGATATGTCTACGAAAGAGAGAAGCTTACAATTGTCAAAGGCATGGGCTCCTAGTCTACAGAAGTCGAGGGTCACTCAATCCTGTGGAACAGAAGCACCCCGTTGGTATCTCTCGACGCAGAACTGGTGTCAATGACTGCGGTTCGAGCACTGCTTGCAGTATTGTCGTTGCAGCTAAGTTAATGCACGCGTCAAAGAGACAGTGGCCTAGTTTAGTCGTGCCATTAAAGGCGTTAACTCCTCCATTGGCGTGAACATTTTGCAGCGAACAACAGTCGGCAAAGGCCCTGTAACCGAAGTCCGTGCAGCCTGGCGCAGTCATGCTAATAAGCCAATGACAGCCCCGAAAAGCACTTTCGTCAATGCTCACTACTGTGATTGGCAGCTTGACAATTCTTTGGCGGCGACAATTGAGCCTAGCGAGCAGCACTCTGCAAAGGCCCGGCAACCAAATTGCACACACCCAGGGGTAGTGATTTGCGTGAGTGCATAGCATCCCTGGAAGGCCCCATCCTTTAGACAGACCACCGAGGGTCCTTGTGCTTCCTCCACGTGTCGGATTGTTGGGGCAGAATGAAAGGCACTATCCGGTATTGCACCAGGGTCGTTGGCAGGACAAAGACTCCTTTGGGGTAGCCTTGCCTATTGTCATTTTGGAAGTGCCATATGTTGCGCCCTACCTCGACACATGGTCGGACAACTATCTAGAATCTGTTGCGCTTTCTCAGGATGTCTCGGATGGGATCGCGTAACGGCTGTTGGGTGTCCAGCCGAATCAGGTCGACCTCACACCCAAAGACATCAATGTCGACAATCGACGGCGGAATTTTTTTTTGCACGGGTGGAGACGCCATGCGCGCAGAGATTGCACAGGTCATCTTGTGCTAGTCAAGAGAGAGCCAGGTTGCGAAAGCAAAGAACCACCAACAAAACCCGAACCAAACACAAAACAAACAAACAAAAACCACGACCGCAAAGCAACCAGGCCGTATGTAACTCAAAAGGGGTCCTGTAGACCAAAAAGAGTGAGTAGGCTGAAACCCGGGGCTGCGAATTAAGCAAAAAGGCCTCTCAGTACTGCTGGACAGTGCAAGCTCTGTTCTTCTTCGTTTGTCATCGTTTGTCATCGTACACACTTCTTCATTTAGTGTTGCAAAGCGGCCTGGTATTAGACCGCTGTGCCGGGCATTGCACTTGGACCATGCTGAAGCAAAGCGTCCGACGTTGTGCAGTTTACTACGAGGCAGGCATTCCCACGGCGCCGAGTCAACCTTTTCCTCTGCAGAAATGAACAGGCGTGTAGGGGAAAACCACTGCGGATAGCTTCCGATTACTCCAAGCATTCGGACAACAGGATTCAGCAGCGCAGCCTGTGAAATATGAAACTCACTGTATGATGGCCGTTGCATTCTGTTGCATTCTGCAGGTAGCGACTCCTCCCCGGGCGGGGAGGAGGGCAGTGATCTCACCATTCTTGCGGCGGTGCGTCCCAAACAGCTTGGCAAAGGGAGAGCACAGAAAGGCAAGCGGAAGTCAACTAGCTTGCAGTTGGTTAGTGGGTGGTTGACGGACGCATCGTGCAATGCCCCTAGTCTACAGTGAAACAAGTGAAACTGACGTTCCCTGAGCCTCCTAGAACCCTTATTTAGTGGGACCCCTTATTTAAGGAGTCTGACATAGAAAAATTTAAGGAGTCTAGACTCGTTAATTTAGGGTGTCTTTTTAAGGTGTCTAGATGTTGTTGTTTTCATAAAAATGTTAAGTGAATCCTTCACAGGATTCAAAAATCTTTGATGGGATTGAATATTTTTTTCGTAGGTTCCAGTAATCCTTGACAGGATTTCCAAAAGGTTTGTGCTCTCCCCTGAATCTTGAAGGGTTTGCAAAAAATCCTATCAAAGAGCCTGAAACCCAGGTCGCTGATCTGCAACAAATGATTTTCACCTCTGGATGGGCCACTCAGGCACCAAGTTCTGAGCTCTCAATTTCGTTAAGACATTCCAAGAAGTACTGCTAGCAGAGTTGGCGCCCCCTCTCCTTTTAGAGGCAGCTGCCACAGATCCCCCCCAGTCTTCATCCCTATAGGTCCAAGACAAAGAAGGAAGAACTTGGTCAAACTCTGCCAATTCTTGCAGCAAATGAAATTTGAGCTTGAATTTCCACAGCCCTTCAGGACTGCTCTGTTCCAGTGCCAGATAAACAAGCAGGAACTTTCTAGTGAGTTCCTTGAGGGTAGCTTGGCAAAATGAATTTTTTGATAAACAATCGTACATTTGCCAAAGCAAATGAGCGGCCTGGAGGACAGTGTTCTCCCAACATTCCTCCTTGTTCAGTTTTTT